TGGGGAAAGTCGAGAGAATTCTTAAAAATCCACCTGCGGGACTTCGGTTCTGTGGTGAAAGTCGATAGACTTCTTAAAAATCCACCTGCGGGACTTAGTTTCTGTGGGGAAAGTCGAGAGACTTCTTAAAAATCCACCTTCGGGACTTAGGTTCTGTGGGGAAAGTCGAGAGACTTCTTAAAAATCTACATCGTTTTAAAATCGTTTGCAATTCCTAAGGTATAACTACCTTTTTGAAATACTATTTATAACAACGTTAGAATCCTATAAAGCTTCTAACAACGTTAGATCCCATAAAGCTTCCTTTTTTTTGCAACTTTGTTGGAAGATTCTAACGAGTAACCGCTAACGGTGCTTAAATATTGTTTGCCACCAAATTTATGCTTGTTTCGTTTGACATTATAAATCACTTTTGATTTGTCTACGACATAAGCACTACGTGCAATTACATTTACAAAACCATCTACTTCTACGAGGTAATATTTGGTTTAAATATAAAGAGATCTTCATCTCTAATAAATTTGAAATATACATTTGTTTTATTATTATATTAAATCTTGGGAATCTTGTTGGAGCTGAACAGTAAGTAAAATAAAAACCGCAAATTTTTGTTCAAATAATAATTTGTCAATAAAAAAAAAGCTTAACTTGAGAAAATGTTGAACATTTTTGGTTTATTTATCATTTTAGACGGTTTTTTGCTTCTCTTGAAAAATTTGTTCAATGTAACTTAGGGCTTTTTGGATTTCATATGACGATATGATTTTTATACTCGTCCCAATTTGCTTGATTGTATTTATATCGTGTTTTTATTATTGATGTAGGTGTTGAATATACTATTTTGCTTTTGTAACATGTACGAATAGGAAAATGGTCACTGTTGTAAAGATCATTAACAACATCCCAAGTTAAGTTAGGTAGGAGCAATGTTGAGCAAAAAGTTAAATCAATGTTTGTAAGGGTATTGTGAGTGGAGAGATGTGTTGGGGATCCATCCAGGTATTTTACTCTTTTGTGGTAATTGGTAGATCCCCAAATTGGGTTCCACGTATTGAAATCACCTGCCATAATCAGGTTTTCATTGGATGGAATTAGTCTTTCTATGTCAATGTTGGAAATATGATTCTCGGGTGGAATATATACCGAGGAAATTCTAATATTATATTTTGCTATCAAAGAAATTAAGATATGTGGAATATCTTTAAGTATAAGAATGCCACAGCCTTGTCGTGATGTGAAAGTATCCTGTATACTGTTTCGGTAATATTGGAGTTTCTGTTCTTTTAATATTAGTTTCTTGAAAACAAATGATATCTGGATTGTATTTTTTAATTATCAGTTCTATACTTGTATAATTATTTATTAATCCGTTAATACTCTATTGAATTATAACTATATTCATTAAATTAAGATGATTTTAAAATCCATTGTGAAATATCAAGGAATCATTTATTATTCATTAAAAAAAAAACGATTTCTTCTTGTTCATTATAATTATTATGAGTTGTTATTTATTTAGGTAAATTTAAAGTTTTATTTATTTATTTATTCGTTTATTTAATCTTAAGGAACTTAATTCTAAGACTAAATTATAGTTAAAGAGCACTAGCTGCTATGGCCATCAGCTCTAATGTTGTACATATTTACTAATATTTATGTATATGCATATTAAGCATATTATTTATATTTTAAGTTTGGTTAGTTTAATGAAATGGTAAATTTTGTTAATGTTTTCTGTTGATGGTTCCTTTAAAAGGCTGTTGTCTTTGGGTTGAAAATGATCTACATTCTGTGAGAGCATATTTTATTGTTTGAGCGCAATTACATCTATTAGGAGGCTGTGAGTTTTTTTTCAGAATCCAGTCGTGTGAGAAAATGGTGTGACCGAGTCGTAATCTTGAAAATGTTCTAATTTTGAATTTATCAGTGTCTGTTGGGTAAGAGGGAGGGATACATTGTGGATTTATATTGGAATAATGGTAATGATTGATTGATTTATTTTTGGTTTTGTCTATAATGACATATTTAATGTGTCTGCGAATATAAATTTTTTCCAATGTGCTATCCATTGTTAAAGGTGCGTATGAGGCGAATTTTGGTGCCAAGTCAGCTTTTTCTTTGCCAATGATACCAATGTGACTTGGTATCCAGTGCAATCATATTAAACTTTTGTTGTCAATTAGAGCAACCCTAATCAGGTTTATATATAGTATTCCATTTAAAGTTTAACGGGTTATTTATTGCTTTTAGCACAAGATTCCGCTGGAAAATAGATGCCTGTTCCGGGTGCAATCCTAATAAGATATTATCTCTATTTTCGTTTACCACAGCGTACGCTGGTATGTTACTTTGTGATTTAGTGCCGTCTGTGTAGAAGAATCGCCAGTTATTGTTTTTAAAAAGCATTTTTTGTTCTGAAAAATGGCCGAGGTAAGTGTCTTTTGGAGTATCGGATTTGTTGAAGTTTGCCAGTGAAAAATTAAGGGATATAGTTTCAAATTTCCATGGGGGATTTTTAAGTATTTTTTGGAAAACAAAGGCAGAATGTTTAACTCAGTGCATAAGGACAAATATTGGGCTTTTGCTGATTTGATGCGCTTGATTTTTTTAGCTTTGATAATTGAGGAGATATCCTTGTCAATAATGGAGTTTGTACTGTTAAGGAGTTTAGGTATAAGTCTAGCATTTAATTCATGTATTCTGTCTGGTATTGATGGTAGATTCGCTTCACAAAGTATATTGTTTATAGGGCTGTCCTCAATGCGTAGACCATATACCGGCGTATAGAGAGGCAGATAAAAAAAATTACCACTACTCGCACACTATTGGCATTTTTTCAATTAATTTGCACTGAAAAAAATATTTGGTTATTTTTAATTTTGAAGATTAAATTGCATTACTGTAAAATGCGAATATTTATAAACAAAATGTAATCAATGTACATAAGAACGATAATTTCTTCACATAGAAACAACATTTCAAATTAAAATGTACAAAAGAAGTATGAAACAAGATGAACTTATTTACTTTCATTGTTATGTATTCTAGAAAATTATTTAGGGTGTACGTTGTTTTTGTAAATTATGCTCTTGTTTTTGTTTTTTCAAGTTGTGTTTGCAATTTCTTTAACAAAGCGATATCAGCCTGCTTTGTTGAATGCTGTTTTTTTTTTGAAATATATTTTATAAAATTAGTATTAGAGATCCACGTTTCGGCTTCGAGAGATTTCTCGACGAGGGGTGGTACAAAGTAATCATTATTACTGATAAGAGATTGTGTTATAAGAGAAAAAGGTGACATGTTATTATTGTTTGTTGCTGAGGGATTGTTTTCAGTTGTGTTGTTTTTCTTTGTTGATATTCTTTTTGGTGTTTCGTTATTTTCCGCTGTTTTAGTTGATATATTTTGTAATAGTTCTTTAATATTTGATTGTTTGTTTATCGAATTAAATTGGTTTTGTTGTTGTTGTTGTTGTTGTAACAGCTTAAACTATACAATTTTAATCCGGGGGTTCTGTATTTAGGTCCAAGCCAAGAAATTGGGCTACTTCAACAGGGTTAGTCCATAAATCCATTGGGCTAAGTGAAGTAGGGTGGGCTGGACAGTTGAATATGTGGTGGGTATCATGGGGACCCTGTCCACAAGATGGGCATATATTGGGGACGACACGGTCTATGCGGGACCAGTAGGCGTTGAGCCTGTTGCTCCATCCCGATCTCAGTTGTGCCAGAGCAACTCTTGTTTTCCGCGGCAAGTTCTTCTCTATTTCTGCTATGGGCGGTGGGCGACCTCCAAGAACGACATTCATCCGGTAACCTGAAATCGCGGTATTGATGGCGTCTCTATGAATGTCGTTCAAAGCTGCTGTATACGAAGTCCGATCTAAGGGATCCTGAACATAACTTCGTATGCTCTCTTCGTATACACGAAGGTCCTTCCTGACATGCCTCGGGGGAGCATCCAACTGTGTGATGTTAAAGTTGGGATGACTCCTCCGGTGACATCCCAGGAGGAACTGTTTAGTCAGCATGACATTATGTTCCTTGACTGGGAGGACCTTCGTTTCCTCACGTAGATGGTGTTCTGAGGTTATTTGCATGCAGCCCGTTACAGTCCTTAGGGCAGCATTTTGGCAGCTTTGAATATTTCTCCACTGGGTATCACTCGATGGAGACCACACTGGAGCAGCATAATTGACCACTGACCGGCCAATTGTTTTATAGGTAGCCAACAAGGTTTCTTTGTCCATTCCCCAAGTGCTGCCGGCTAGCGCTTTGACGACCTTGTTTCTACTTCGCAATCTGTGCGTAATTGCAGTGGCATGAGCTGAGGAAGTAAACAGGCTGTCAAAGGTGACCCCCAAAATCTTTGGGTGGTTCACAGTCGGAATTTGGTTTCCATCGACTACGACGCCTAGGTTCAAGTTTACCTCCTTCGTCCAGGTGGTGAAAAGTGTAGCTGAAGATTACGCTGGTGACAGTTTCAGGTTACGTCCAGTGAAGAAGTTGTGTATTTCTCCGAGATAACTATTCACTCGATCGCATAGCTCATCAACGTTTTGGCCCGTCGCCATAATGGTACAGTCGTCCGCATAAGATATCACTTCCACACCTTGTGGAGGTGTGGGAAGTTTAGAGAGGTAGAAGTTAAACAATAGGGGCGATAAGACACCGCCCTGTGGTACTCCCTGTTTAACTCTACGGGTTTTGGAACATTTGTCTCTAAACTCAACGAACGACTGACGGCCACTCAGATAATTTACAATCCATCTCTTCAAGTTGTTGGGCATGGTGGACTGCAGGATGTCCTGGAAGAGTGTGGCATTGCTGACTGTATCGAAGGCTTTCGATAAATCTAGCGCCACAAGGAGTGTCCTTTCACAAGGTCTCTGCTGGTTTAAGCCTTGTGAGATCTGAGTGGTTATGGCGGTTAATGCTGAGGTGGTGCTGTGCATCTTACGGAATCCATGCTGGTGGCGAGATGCTGTAAGATGGCAGGACAGCTGGGGGAGGAGGAGCGCCTCAAGAGTCTTCGCGACTGGTGACAGGAGGGAAATCGGCCTGTAGGATTGACCCTCTGTCGCGTTCTTCCCTGGTTTCAGTATCGGGATGACTCTACCCTTTTTCCAGGCATTGGGTATTATCAGGCTGCTCATTGACAGGTTAAAGACTATTGTCAAGTACTCGACTCCCCGTTCGCCAAGGTGTTTCAGCATCAGCATGGATATGCCGTCGGGGCCAATCGCCTTAGATGGTTTGGCTGCGTTGATGGCCTCTGCAACTTCAGAAGGGGTGAAAGGTTGTGGAATGTCCGAGACTGGAAGGTTGTGAGGTTTGCGAACAACACTTCATTTCGCCTTATCTCTCTCTGGGTGCTCAATAAAAAGTCGGCAAAATACACGCGAGCACCGTACAGGGTCGGAAATAGTGGTATCTGCAAACTTAATCGCGACCCTGTCATCCTTCTTCGTCGGGTTGGGGAGAGACCGAACCGTAGACCACAACTTACTAACACCTGAGCTCAAGTTGCAGTTCTTCAAATGATCTAACCATTTGTTCCGTTTGTCCTCATTTACCAACCTGCTGATATCATGATTCAGCTGGATAATACGTGGGTCGTCGGGGTTGATACTTCGGAGGTCATCGCGCTCGTCTGCTAGTCTCGCTGCCTCTGCTGGGAAGTGCGGCCGCACTAAGGATAGTCGACCAGCAGGAATAAAGCGGGCTGCTGCTGCGATGACAGTTTCGCGGAACTTGCTCTCTGCTTGGTGTACGTTGCTAGGAGCTGGAAGATCATTGAGGATGCGATCAGTGAATTCTCTGAAGCCGGGCCAGTCTGCTTTCTTTTGGTTTATGTAGAGACGGCGTTCAGAGACGATGAAGTCATTGGGTCGATCCAGACAAACGATTATGGGTAAGTGGTCTGAGGCTAGAGAAACTACTGCTCTCCAAGTTGCGTAGTTTATCAGACCAGGGCTCGCTATTGTGATGTCTGGAGAGCTGGCGCAGTTACCCATAATCCGTGTGGGGGCATCATCATTTATTGTGCAGAAGGTGGATTCGTTGTTCCGCCAGTGACGCGCCTCTCTGGTCTTCCACTAGACTAGAGTGCCAGAGCTGATGATGCGCGTTAAAGTCCCCAAGGACTAGACGCATATCGCCGTCTAATAATGTCCTAATGTCGGGACGGTAGCCTGATGGACAACTGGCTACTGGTGGAATGTAGACATTATAGAGCTCTAGGTCGGTGTTATGAATTATAAATGCAATGCCCCCACCGTTGCTTCTGGTGCGGTCTTTTCGGAGAACGTTGTAACCGTTACAACTGTGCAGACTGGAATTACTCGTCAGTTTTTTTCTCCTGGACCGCTGCGACCACGATGTTGTTTTGCTGCATAAATCTGGTTATCTCGGGTAATTTACTCTGGAGGCCATTGCAGTTAAACAGCAATATGGATATCACCCCAGGTCTCTGGACCGCAATCGATGGAGTCAGCGGCGAGGGTTGTTGTTGCTGCTGAAGATGTTGTGTTTGCTGCGGTTGTTGTGATTGCGGTGGGGAGGGTGGAGATGTGGCGTATGATGACGATGTCGATGATGCCAATGAATTCCGTCGCTGTTGTTGGCAGCATGGGGCGACAAAAGTCTCCGACCACTCCCGATGATGATTTAGTCCAGAGCAGTTTCTGAGGTGACACCAGCCCAAACAAGCGTTGCACCGTAATTGGGTGGACATATGGTGCAACCGGTTCTGGCAAACTGTACAGAATCATGGTCCGGGATTTAGTTCGATTCTGGCACGGACCAAAAGGATACGGAGCAGCAATGCCGGAAGATGTTGCTCCGTTGGTAAAAATGTGTAGTTGTTGCTGAGGTTGACAGCCCTTGGCCGAAAAATTTCGGGTCATTCCGGTACGTAGAACCGGCTGTCGGGGAATGATAGGTTTTGTTGTTTTTTGTTGTTGCGGGTTGTTTGTTTGAGTCAGGGTTTTGCGCAGTAGGATTACTATTTATTTCTGTTTGCTTATTTGAATTATCTTTGCGTTTTGTTGGGGAGTTGGTTACTGTTGCTGTATAAGAGTTGGGTTGATTGGTTGTGGGTATTGGATTATTTTCCCGGTACTTGCGTCTAGCTTCACTTATGCTGCAGTATTTTTTTTTTTTTTAATTTTAAGTATTTCTCTAGTTTGAACGTATCGTGGGCAGTTTTTATCGGCGGATGAGTGTTCACCTGAGCAATTTGTGCAGAAAATACGCGAGCATTCTTCTGAAGCATGTGGTGGAAGACTGCAAGTCGGGCATGTAGTGTCTCCTTTACAACGGTTTTTTGTATGGCCTAGTTTCTGGCAAGTTTTGCATCTCATTGGATTTGGTATGTAGTGTTCTACTTTACATTTATACCAAGCGACATCTACCGAAGTGGGTCGAATGTTATAATCATGTTATAATCATTTTACCGGTTGGACATCGGGTTTTGCCATCATCGCTGAGTTTTTTAAACTTGCATACTTCTATGACTCCTTGAGTTTTCATTTCTTGGATTATTTCATCTTCTTGGACTATTTCATCGCCTTTAACGGAATTAAGAGTGTCATGTAGTTTGCAAGTGATTGAGCATATATTAGAAAGTGTTTTATTTTTTAAGAATTTTTCAGCAACACGTGCGTTACGTGTTAGGATTAAAAGATTACCGTCTCGTAGTAGAGATATAGAGTTAATTTCAGTGCTTATGTTTTCCACGCCTTTCTTAATAGCAAAAGGGCTTATTTGTGATAATTGTTTTTTAGGATCACTAGACGAGATTATTACGTATTTTGGGTTGTTTTTATTGTTATTTGGTGTTGGTAGATCTGGGTATTCATTGGATTTTCGTTTTTTAGAAGGATTTTCTATAAAATCCCTAGTACAGAAAATCTATTGTTGGACAATTTGTCCGGAGGCCCCGGAGCCATGGTGCTTGTTATTTTTTTCCCTTTTTTATGTATAGATTCCTTTATTTATATAAAGTTTTTATAAATTTAAGAAATATATTAAAAAAACACGCGGTTAATAATTTAAAGAGATGAGCTATGAATATCGATGACTACGAACTTAACAGTTGTTAGAAAAATAGAATATCAATAATAAGAACCTTACGCTTTAAAAGCAAGACGATGACTGAAATTTAAAGTTTTATTTTGAGATAAGTTGAGAGTTTCTTTTGTTTTCTTTAAATTGTTTGTTGTTGGATTGTTCACATGACTTTTAGTCATTGCACGTGTTAATACAGAGGTTTTTGGAGTATTTTTGATGTAGATTTTTGTGTTTTAAAATCATTTGAAAGTGTTTTTGTTGAGTTAAGAGGTTCACTTATATTTTTTGTGTTTTCCTTGTTGTTGGTTGGATAGAAAGTTATTTATTTAATAGAATTTATTGGTTTATTTTCTGCAGTTAGTGGAATTGTTGTTTTTAAATTGTTGATATTGTTTGACTTGTTGTTAGTGACATTTGAAAAATATTGATCTAGTGGTTTAGTTAACGTTTGAGCACAATATTTTTCTTTTGCGACCTTTAAAGAGCAGTTTTCCTTCGTTTTTATTTTCAATATTTCTTTTTGTTGCTTAAACATTTTACATTCTTTTGTAGAAGAAGGGTGTTCTTCGGAACAGTTAACGCAAAAAGTTCGAGTACATTCAGATGGTATGTGGGGAGGTAAACCACAGTTTTCAAATTTTGGGGTATTTTTGCACCATTTGAGAGTATGACCAAGCATTTGACAATTTTTGCACAGCATTGGATTAGGGAAGAATTGACTAACTTTGATTTTTTGCCAAGATATTTCCAGTTTATCAGGTATAGAATATCTGTCAAATATTATTAACATTACGCCGCAAGGAACCATTTTTCCTTCAGGATTTTTTCTTTGATACTTGTAGATATCGACTACACCTTGTGATTTAAATTCCTGAATAATTTCGTTCTCGGGGATGTTTATAAGATAAGGTTCATATATGTATAGTACCTTTAGATAAATTTAAATTCGAATGGTATTCACATTTAATACTGCATATTCCAGGAAGATTTTTTGTTGAAATTAGGTTATCTGCGTTTGTTTAGTTTCAAATTAAAAGAAGTAGATTTCCGTCTCTTAATTCTGATACAGAAAGCATATCTGAGCAGATGAGTTTTAATGAGCGGTGGACTGAAAAACAGGAGTATTGTTGTAAGGTTTTATTGTCGGAAGTAGCTGACATTACAACATGTTTTGGATCAGGTTTTTGAATAACCGGAAGTTCGGGAAATACAGCGAAAATGTTCTGATTTGGTCGTTTCTTTTTGGCGCAAGGGCCATCCGCTACTAATGTTGTTGTCTCCCAGATTGGGTGTACCGGACATAATTACACTATTATATAAGATATTAACTTAAACTGCTGTCTATACGAAAACTTTTGATGCTCACTGTCCTTTTACTGCAAAATTTACAAAAAACTCAAAACTAAGATCTGTAATAAACACTACCGCACGGCGCAAGAGTTAGTCAAAGACTATGTATATCAAATTATCATCGAAATAGAACCTGTATGTAAGGAAAAAGTTCTAAGAAAATGTCCAGCAAAAAAAAAAAAAAAAAAAAATCAGAAAAAGAAAACGTGCTAAATCCTAATAAATTAAGATTGTATCAGATCATTTAAGTGATTATACTGGGAATATTGACATCTTGTGTGGAAATTATTAGTTAATCTTTCAATTTTAACATGTACGAGATCAAGGTTGGCGAGAGTATGTAAACGTTGCGTTGAGTAGTGCCAAGGTAGATTATAAATTAATTGTAATAGTTTATTATGAGCAATTTGGAGTTTATTTATGTAACATTTTGCAGAAGTCGACCATACTGGGGCGCCATAAAACAATAATGGGTGAAAAATTAATTTTTTGTTGTTTAAGCCAACTTCAGATTTTCTGTTTATAATTGGTCATCACATCAATTTTGTTGAACAAATATGAAATATGTTCATTAAAAAAAAGTTTGGTGTCGAGGATTATGCCAAGATACTTAACTTTATCTTCCCAAGAGACTTTGTGGTTCATAAATTGAAGTGGGATTTGAGGTGTAAAGCAGTCCTTTCTCTTTCTTTTAAAGTAAATGGCTTGTGTTTTTTCTGGATTTACCATTATATTCCATTTGCTAAAATAGCTGTGCAGCTCAGTTAGTGCTATTTGTAAATTAGTTGTAATACTAGTGGCGAGTACATCTGAGCAAAGTATAGATATATCGTCTGCGAATATTGATGTATTGCAATTTTGGAAAGTAGGTATATCTGCAGTGAAGATGTTGTATAAAATGGGTGACAAGCAAGACCCTTGAGGAAAACCTGCGTTTATATTTGTTCGTTGGGAGTGGACCGAACCTAAATAAACTTTAAAGGACCTGTTATTAAGGAAAGAAACTCTTTATAATTTTAATTATTTCTGATGGAAAATTTAATTTCTTTAATTTATAAGGTCATTATGCCATACGGAATCAAATGCGGTTTTTATATCTAGGAGAACCATTCCAGTAGATTATTCATATTGAAAGTTATTTTTCACTAGATTGCGTATTTTAATCAGAGGTTGAGTTGTGTTCTTTTCTGAAATCGAATTGTTGTACAGGGAGAATATTGTTTAAGTCTGGAAAGTATGGTCAATTTCCATCTTGTCAAGTATTTAGAGACCAACAATTTACTTAACGACCGCCAGTATGGCTTTCGTAGAGGTCGCTCTACGGGAGACTTTCGGAGAAATGGTGTCATTCCATTCACCATTTTGGCGAAAGTAAAGTGGTGGCTCTAGATTTTTCAAAGGCGTTTGATAGAGTGTGGCATGGTGCACTTGTATCAAAACTAATTGCATTTGGTGTCGGTAATAACTTCTCTCGATTTATTTCGAGCTTTCTCAGAGATCGCACTATACGAGTTGTTATAGATGGGATCACATCAAACGTGTTCAAGATTAATTCAGGGGTACCGCAAGGCTCCGTTCTTTCCCCTACCCTATTTCTTATCTTTATAAATGACCTTCTATGTCAAACTTCCAACTCTATCTACTCTTTTGCGGATGACAGCAGTATCTGCCATTCTTATTCATTCAATCATAGGCCACGCCCTCTAGAGATTGGGGCAATGAGGCGCAATATGAATGAATCGCTTCTTAATCACGACTTGATAAAAATCTCTGAATGGGGTCGTGTTAACAGAGTCGATTTTAACGCCCGTAAGACTCAATATTGTTTTTTAACACATAAACGCTTGGCAAATATTATTGTTCTATCTATATATGGGTGGTATAAATATTAAGGAATCAGAAACTCTTGATGTTCTGGGCATGAAAATTCAGTGCGATGTCTGCTGGACTAAACACATTTTTCAAGTGTCGAAAGAAGCATTCAAGTGTCTCAAGTGCATCTTACGGAATCCATGCTGGTGGCGAGATGCTGTAAGATGGCAGGACAGCTGGGGGAGGAGGAGCGCCTCAAGAGTCTTCGCGACTGGTGACAGGAGGGAAATCGGCCTGTAGGATTGACCCTCTGTCGCGTTCTTCCCTGGTTTCAGTATCGGGATGACTCTACCCTTTTTCCAGGCATTGGGTATTATCAGGCTGCTCATTGACAGGTTAAAGACTATTGTCAAGTACTCGACTCCCCGTTCGCCAAGGTGTTTCAGCATCAGCATGGATATGCCGTCGGGGCCAATCGCCTTAGATGGTTTGGCTGCGTTGATGGCCTCTGCAACTTCAGAAGGGGTGAAAGGTTGTGGAATGTCCGAGACTGGAAGGTTGTGAGGTTTGCGAACAACACTTCATTTCGCCTTATCTCTCTCTGGGTGCTCAATAAAAAGTCGGCAAAATACACGCGAGCACCGTACAGGGTCGGAAATAGTGGTATCTGCAAACTTAATCGCGACCCTGTCATCCTTCTTCGTCGGGTTGGGGAGAGACCGAACCGTAGACCACAACTTACTAACACCTGAGCTCAAGTTGCAGTTCTTCAAATGATCTAACCATTTGTTCCGTTTGTCCTCATTTACCAACCTGCTGATATCATGATTCAGCTGGATAATACGTGGGTCGTCGGGGTTGATACTTCGGAGGTCATCGCGCTCGTCTGCTAGTCTCGCTGCCTCTGCTGGGAAGTGCGGCCGCACTAAGGATAGTCGACCAGCAGGAATAAAGCGGGCTGCTGCTGCGATGACAGTTTCGCGGAACTTGCTCTCTGCTTGGTGTACGTTGCTAGGAGCTGGAAGATCATTGAGGATGCGATCAGTGAATTCTCTGAAGCCGGGCCAGTCTGCTTTCTTTTGGTTTATGTAGAGACGGCGTTCAGAGACGATGAAGTCATTGGGTCGATCCAGACAAACGATTATGGGTAAGTGGTCTGAGGCTAGAGAAACTACTGCTCTCCAAGTTGCGTAGTTTATCAGACCAGGGCTCGCTATTGTGATGTCTGGAGAGCTGGCGCAGTTACCCATAATCCGTGTGGGGGCATCATCATTTATTGTGCAGAAGGTGGATTCGTTGTTCCGCCAGTGACGCGCCTCTCTGGTCTTCCACTAGACTAGAGTGCCAGAGCTGATGATGCGCGTTAAAGTCCCCAAGGACTAGACGCATATCGCCGTCTAATAATGTCCTAATGTCGGGACGGTAGCCTGATGGACAACTGGCTACTGGTGGAATGTAGACATTATAGAGCTCTAGGTCGGTGTTATGAATTATAAATGCAATGCCCCCACCGTTGCTTCTGGTGCGGTCTTTTCGGAGAACGTTGTAACCGTTACAACTGTGCAGACTGGAATTACTCGTCAGTTTTTTTCTCCTGGACCGCTGCGACCACGATGTTGTTTTGCTGCATAAATCTGGTTATCTCGGGTAATTTACTCTGGAGGCCATTGCAGTTAAACAGCAATATGGATATCACCCCAGGTCTCTGGACCGCAATCGATGGAGTCAGCGGCGAGGGTTGTTGTTGCTGCTGAAGATGTTGTGTTTGCTGCGGTTGTTGTGATTGCGGTGGGGAGGGTGGAGATGTGGCGTATGATGACGATGTCGATGATGCCAATGAATTCCGTCGCTGTTGTTGGCAGCATGGGGCGACAAAAGTCTCCGACCACTCCCGATGATGATTTAGTCCAGAGCAGTTTCTGAGGTGACACCAGCCCAAACAAGCGTTGCACCGTAATTGGGTGGACATATGGTGCAACCGGTTCTGGCAAACTGTACAGAATCATGGTCCGGGATTTAGTTCGATTCTGGCACGGACCAAAAGGATACGGAGCAGCAATGCCGGAAGATGTTGCTCCGTTGGTAAAAATGTGTAGTTGTTGCTGAGGTTGACAGCCCTTGGCCGAAAAATTTCGGGTCATTCCGGTACGTAGAACCGGCTGTCGGGGAATGATAGGTTTTGTTGTTTTTTGTTGTTGCGGGTTGTTTGTTTCAGTCAGGGTTTTGCGCAGTAGGATTACTATATATTTCTGTTTGCTTATTTGAATTATCTTTGCGTTTTGTTGGGGAGTTGGTTACTGTTGCTGTATAAGAGTTGGGTTGATTGGTTGTGGGTATTGGATTATTTTCCCGGTACTTGCGTCTAGCTTCACTTATGCTGCAGTATTTTTTTTTTTTTTAATTTTAAGTATTTCTCTAGTTTGAACGTATCGTGGGCAGTTTTTATCGGCGGATGAGTGTTCACCTGAGCAATTTGTGCAGAAAATACGCGAGCATTCTTCTGAAGCATGTGGTGGAAGACTGCAAGTCGGGCATGTAGTGTCTCCTTTACAACGGTTTTTTGTATGGCCTAGTTTCTGGCAAGTTTTGCATCTCATTGGATTTGGTATGTAGTGTTCTACTTTACATTTATACCAAGCGACATCTACCGAAGTGGGTCGAATGTTATAATCATGTTATAATCATTTTACCGGTTGGACATCGGGTTTTGCCATCATCGCTGAGTTTTTTAAACTTGCATACTTCTATGACTCCTTGAGTTTTCATTTCTTGGATTATTTCATCTTCTTGGACTATTTCATCGCCTTTAACGGAATTAAGAGTGTCATGTAGTTTGCAAGTGATTGAGCATATATTAGAAAGTGTTTTATTTTTTAAGAATTTTTCAGCAACACGTGCGTTACGTGTTAGGATTAAAAGATTACCGTCTCGTAGTAGAGATATAGAGTTAATTTCAGTGCTTATGTTTTCCACGCCTTTCTTAATAGCAAAAGGGCTTATTTGTGATAATTGTTTTTTAGGATCACTAGACGAGATTATTACGTATTTTGGGTTGTTTTTATTGTTATTTGGTGTTGGTAGATCTGGGTATTCATTGGATTTTCGTTTTTTAGAAGGATTTTCTATAAAATCCCTAGTACAGAAAATCTATTGTTGGACAATTTGTCCGGAGGCCCCGGAGCCATGGTGCTTGTTATTTTTTTCCCTTTTTTATGTATAGATTCCTTTATTTATATAAAGTTTTTATAAATTTAAGAAATATATTAAAAAAACACGCGGTTAATAATTTAAAGAGATGAGCTATGAATATCGATGACTACGAACTTAACAGTTGTTAGAAAAATAGAATATCAATAATAAGAACCTTACGCTTTAAAAGCAAGACGATGACTGAAATTTAAAGTTTTATTTTGAGATAAGTTGAGAGTTTCTTTTGTTTTCTTTAAATTGTTTGTTGTTGGATTGTTCACATGACTTTTAGTCATTGCACGTGTTAATACAGAGGTTTTTGGAGTATTTTTGATGTAGATTTTTGTGTTTTAAAATCATTTGAAAGTGTTTTTGTTGAGTTAAGAGGTTCACTTATATTTTTTGTGTTTTCCTTGTTGTTGGTTGGATAGAAAGTTATTTATTTAATAGAATTTATTGGTTTATTTTCTGCAGTTAGTGGAATTGTTGTTTTTAAATTGTTGATATTGTTTGACTTGTTGTTAGTGACATTTGAAAAATATTGATCTAGTGGTTTAGTTAACGTTTGAGCACAATATTTTTCTTTTGCGACCTTTAAAGAGCAGTTTTCCTTCGTTTTTATTTTCAATATTTCTTTTTGTTGCTTAAACATTTTACATTCTTTTGTAGAAGAAGGGTGTTCTTCGGAACAGTTAACGCAAAAAGTTCGAGTACATTCAGATGGTATGTGGGGAGGTAAACCACAGTTTTCAAATTTTGGGGTATTTTTGCACCATTTGAGAGTATGACCAAGCATTTGACAATTTTTGCACAGCATTGGATTAGGGAAGAATTGACTAACTTTGATTTTTTGCCAAGATATTTCCAGTTTATCAGGTATAGAATATCTGTCAAATATTATTAACATTACGCCGCAAGGAACCATTTTTCCTTCAGGATTTTTTCTTTGATACTTGTAGATATCGACTACACCTTGTGATTTAAATTCCTGAATAATTTCGTTCTCGGGGATGTTTATAAGATAAGGTTCATATATGTATAGTACCTTTAGATAAATTTAAATTCGAATGGTATTCACATTTAATACTGCATATTCCAGGAAGATTTTTTGTTGAAATTAGGTTATCTGCGTTTGTTTAGTTTCAAATTAAAAGAAGTAGATTTCCGTCTCTTAATTCTGATACAGAAAGCATATCTGAGCAGATGAGTTTTAATGAGCGGTGGACTGAAAAACAGGAGTATTGTTGTAAGGTTTTATTGTCGGAAGTAGCTGACATTACAACATGTTTTGGATCAGGTTTTTGAATAACCGGAAGTTCGGGAAATACAGCGAAAATGTTCTGATTTGGTCGTTTCTTTTTGGCGCAAGGGCCATCCGCTACTAATGTTGTTGTCTCCCAGATTGGGTGTACCGGACATAATTACACTATTATATAAGATATTAACTT